ATTTTTTTCTTTTATTTCCCCTTAGTTTCCTTTCTAAATGTTATGTTTACTACGTTTCATCAATAATTACTACCACTATATTACATGGATCTTGTTTTAGAAGTGTTGGTTTCAGAACTAGAACTCTGAATTTCTGTTTTTAGTAAATTACATAAATATTTTGCTTTTACACATAAATTTATAAGTTCTACATTTGGATGATAGGAATTGGATGGTAAAGAAGTAGTACATGTTTAATGCTTACATATAAATTTACAAGTTCAATATTTGGATCAATGGTGGCTCAACAAATTTTGTGACATAAAGCTAAATTTAAGTAAGAGGCCCTTTTAAGTTCACATAGGAAGAGTTAATTCAAGTTAATAAAATAGCTAGCCATATATGTGTAATAAGTTAACTTGGATCTTGTTATAAAGAACATTATTTGCTACTATAATAATTTGGGTAGTTTAATACAAAGTTCTAAAATATTTTTATTGTTAAAAAATGGACAATCTTGCCTCTATCTTAATGAAAAAATTGTACTTTTTAATACGAATTTCAATATTTTCTAAGCCAAAATAGCATCAAAAAATTTATTTATAAAATTTTTTAAGGCCCTAAAATTTATCTTGAACACGCTCCTAAATATTTTTCCACACAAAAGGTAAAATCATTATGTAAATTAGCAGTAATATTCTAATCACTTACTGTTTATATCATAACACTAACGATTGAAGTTGCTTTTAATATCAGGGATTGCTTGGATCAGTAAAGAAATGTTGAAATGTCTGGTGAGACCAAATTATAATGGAAAATATATTCACAAAGTTATAAGAAATTAGGCCAGACTCGATTGCGGAGATAATTTTATTCATGGTTATTGAATTTTTGTGTTTGTTACCCCAAAAGTCACTTTTTTTTTTTTTTTGGTTACGTAAAAATCATTCAACTTTGTGTTCATTACACAAAAGTTACTTTTCTTTCTTTTGTTACACAAAAATTATTTTACTTTGCTCTATTTATCACAAAAGTCTATTATGCCCTTATTATTATATAAACCTTCATATTTATGTAATACCTTCTATATTATATACTATATAATATACTTTTACCTATGTATTTTATTTATAAATAAAATAACTTAATATTATTTTATTTATTATTTTTATAATATATTCGTATATTTAATTTTTTCTAACTTTAATTTCCAAGATATATTAGTAGCATTATAAAATAATTTTTTTTTCTGCAATTCTCTTTTTTGAATTTAATTGACCGATGGTCGGTAATTTCCGACCAACTTTGGTCGGTAGGACCTTCCGTCCTTTGAAATACCGACCACACGTTAATGGTCCCGTTTTGGACGGTTATTGGTCATTACCGACCGACTTTGGTCGATCTTTTGGACGGTTTTTCCCGAATTTCAGTAGTATAAAATAACCAATTGCCCAGGTAAATCCCCCAAAAAATATCCCCAGCTAAATTCGCATGTAGAGTTACCTAAGGATTTTCCTTCAGATTAACATATGATTTTTTCATCAATTTCTTTATTTGTTTACCTGCAAATTTTCTCACGGAAATGTACTTGTCGATTTTTTTCTCTATTAATATATATTAAAATTACTGACAAATTTAATAACGCTACTAATATATTTTGAAATTAACGTTAAGAAACAGATTAATAATGTTTGTTGACAGTTTTTTTTCTCTCGACCCAAGGACTAACTTAAAGCACAAGATTGACTTGGTAACAGTTGCTATTTTTATCCATGCATTGAGAACGGATGAATATTAATGAATCATAACCAGCAAGTCAAATCTACAACCAGACAATAACTGTTCTCATTTATCTCCTCCCAAGGAACCTGGCTACAACAATGCTTTGGTGATGCAGGCCAAAAAAAAAGCATCTTGAGCAGTCTAACATCACAAAAGGCAGAATGGCCTAAATGACACCTATACTTGTACCACTTTGTCATGCCGGTCCTCCTGCTTCACTTTTTTTCATCCAGACACTTTAACTTGTTCAAAATCTATATTTTAAACCCCTCTGACCGTTGACCAAGCACATGTGGCAATAAAATGGTTGAGCTGGACAAAGTGTGTGTAATTCACGCGACCAAGGAGCGTGCATATGAAGATTTTGAAGAAGAAATAATTAAAATAAGGAGAAAAAAATCATCAAAATAAGAATGAAAAATAAAATAAGTTAAAAAAAGAAAAAGAAAAAAGCAAAGAGACATT